GATGCTTTGTTATAGAACAAATCATTGAAGACCCGATGAGAGATTCCACTTGGATAACTATCTATTTGTTAGTGGTTAATCTTTAACGTTCGGTAGTGAAATTGGTCATTTGACTTGAGGTCGTCATAGTACCTTATATGAGGACAGTCATACTTTGATGATATTGGATGTTATTCTACCAAGGGTAGCTAATACATCATCGTTCGGGTATGTCAAGAATCATATGAAGGTTGTGAATGATTAATAGATGATTCGTCGCTCTTAGATAGTAAGAGATTATGATCTGCATTTTATCCAATTAAGTTAATAATGAAATCTTTGGCCAAGGTGAACTCATAAGTCGAAAAAGAGTTTTCGACTTACATTTACTTAACACTGGGATAAAAGATATGATCGATAATTGAGATCGACACGTATCCATATCTCATTATTGATTGGATCATATTGACGAAAGGATTATAATTTCACGGAAAACGAACAACTTTGGTTTGTCACATTACGTGACATTTCTCATCACATGTATTGCCCTGACACATTACTAGATGTCAATCTGGGACGACGAATGTGAATTAGTGATAAATTAAAATGGGTGTCTTAATTTATCGATNATAAATTAAAAGGGGGTGTTTTAATTTATCAATTTTGATTTGATCAAAATAATAATTCACGTCGTTAGGCATCGTGATCGGGAACCTAATGGGTCACACACAAAAGAGAACCAGAAGAATGAAATTTACCAATTAATTAATTAACAAGTGTTGGACAATTAATTAATTCAATTGCTTATTAATATGCCCGAATTAATTAATTGGATTAATTAATTCATGAAAGGAATTTAACTAATTTGATTAATTAAATATTAGACCAGGTAAAATTTAGAGATGTGTCAGCTCACTTGGGCTTATATTAATAGGCTGCTAGGGTTTGTAAATTGTAGAGAATTTCTCATTATTCTTGTTGGCACAAGAAAAGAAAACCTTAGCCCTCATTTTTGTTCTCTGTGTGGATCACCATTGGAGGCTGGACAATTGGACATCCTTGATTGCAGATCGTGATCATTGGAGTTCGAGAATCGGCAAAAGAGTTTGTAGAATTCATCAAAGATATTATTCTCAACA